AAGGGGGGGTACGGGTAAATCTGGAAATGAGGCTCGAACCACCACCACCCCGTCACCCAGACAGACAGGCAGTCACTCCTCGTCAGCCAACCCGTCACGCGGCTTCCGCCTGAATCAATTATGCTCTACTATTATGCTCTATTACGAGATTAATTAAATGTCGGAGGAGGCGTGTGGGAACGGCTATTACTCTCTTGTTTGCTGGAGAATTGGTAATGACGATAGAGCTCCCGGAGACGCTCTCAGGTGCTAGTAGAGACGGTACAGGTTAGTACAGGCTCTAATAGAGACAGTACGGATGAGTACCGGTTCTAATAGAGACAGTACAGGGGCATTACTACCTAGCAATGACGTCCACTCTTGTTACCTATAGACAGAAGGACGTTTGATGTCACCTGCTACAACGAAGGACGTCCCACTGATGACTTATGTAAGAGTCCAGACACCCACTGACGTCTGCTGTGAAGTTGAGCCTCCACTGTGGGGCTACTGTGGGAGGATGGGCATCACAGAGCGGCGTTGAGGTGCCGTCCACAGCGGGGACACATCTTGAACATGTATTCTTATGTTTTCCAAACATGTATCATTCTAGATTAATTTTCCTAAAATTTTATGGCAATTGGTTCGATGTCTTATACTAGAAACAACAATTTTATTTTTCCTTATGTACACTCCAACAAATAATTTTTATAATGACAAAAATTAAGACCGAAAAGAGCGAGAGAGAAAGTGAGATAGTGAGATTGAGAGAAAATGAAAGAGCGAGAGAGAGAGAGAGAGAGAGAGAGAGAGAGAGACATGCATTGTATAATGCCTAACCACCTGCTGGTGGACGTCAAACAGCATATTTGGCTCAGTAACCGACCAAAATACTGGCTCAGTAACCGACCAAAATACTGGCTCAGTAACCGACCAAAATACTGGCTCAGTAACAACAAAATATCAAGAGATTATCCCTAAATTAGTTTTGTTTTTGACCGAGCAAATTATACCAACTAGATTAACATTGACAAACACAGGAGGAACGACTGCAACTCTTGCAGGAAGGATAAGGGCTCTTCCCCCTTTTTCCTTGCAGTAGACCAATAGAAGCATCGTTAGATAATGGTGTCAAACAATCATTATAATGGAGTCACCAGTTATGCCAATATTACAAATTTGATACTTCTTTTCATATATATATTTCTTCTTGCAAGGCAAAGAGTCTGAGCGTTGGAACATTAGGATAATGAAGTAACTTGGCTGAAAGTTTGTTGACTTCCTCTTTCACGAGGGTAGTGGAGATGTGCTGGTTTCCGTTACTTGACCTTCAAAGGGTTCTGTTACTTGTACGTCACAAGGGTACTTACAAGTCTCTTATTATCTCTATAATCCCTCGTTCATAAGTATCATGAAAAGAGACAAAGTCAAACCGGTTTAGTATTATTTCAAAGTCAATTAATCCCATGGACGTAGGACATCCCTGATTACTGTGTGGGTCTGTAGTCAATCTCTGAGACCAGTGGCTGGGTCAGTGATCACGTGCCTGCCACTCCTTCCACGGCTCCTGATTAACTCTTAATCTCTCTCTCTCTCTCTCTTTCTCTCTATCTACCCCTCTTTTGGTCTCTCTTTAGCCTTCTCTTTCGCATTTTTTAGTTTCATCTCATTCGCTCTCATGTTCGTTTTCGCTATTGCTTTCTCTTGCTATCAATTTTCATGAAATTGAGAGGTTGTGTATAGTTCTGGAGGTCGGTGATATTCACTTTCAACGTGTTCAGCATCCTACACACGCGCGTGTGTGTAGGCATCATCTCCCCAAGCCTCTGAGAGCGTGCACTCAACAGGTATCGTGATCGGGAATCTCTCACAGGCCCCACATTGGCACGTACGCCCGACCGTCAGCCTCTGCAAGCTTACCCAGTACCTGGATTGTACCTGGAAAGGGTTCTGAGAGCTCTCCTACTCCCCCAAGCCCGGGGCCAGGCTGGACTTGTGAAAATCTCTATAATCTTTATAATGCCGCTGAAGGCACAGCTCTGTGGATCAAGGAACACCAATGGCTTAAGTTCAGCATATTGTATCTCGATTGCTACTCGTTACTCGATTGTTACTTGTAACCCAGAGTTACAAAGCTGCAGACGAGGAGTCACAATAACGTGGCTGGGAATATGTTGACCAAACCACACACTAGAAAGTGAAGGGACGACGACGTTTCGGTTCATCCTGGACCATTTTCAAGTCGATTGTGGGAATCGACTTGAGAATGGTCCAGAACGGACCGAAACGTCGTCGTCCCTTCACTTTCTAGTATCTGATTTGGTCAACATACAAAGCTGATTAAGTCTGGAACGCAACTTTTCGAACTCTTTCTCTGTTTACTCACAGCGAATCATGCAAACAAGTTTTTTTGCTTTCATATTGTCAATGGATGCAAGCCTATTAGCTCATTGAGGCTTCTCTAAGACCTAAGGCAATTACTAACCTCCACAAGGATGCAACCCACAACAGTCACGTAACTCCAGGAGTCCCTATTTACAGGGGCCCATGTTTATGTTTTAGAGAGAGGTTGGAGGTGTGAACATGATGGTGTTCATATCTTCGATACACTTACAATTCCCACAGGTCCCCGTCTCTGATGGTGAGGAAAAGAACTCACGCAGTTTATGCCTTGGTTATAAAGGCCGAGTGTAAAGCTGGTGCTCTTAAGGTTATTAAACCTCTCATCTGCCACGAGATGTTATCGTTCATAAAGTTTTATGTAGCAAGATACATAAATACATTTGGTAATAGTTGCTATAATCGTACTCAGGAATATCTGTATATAAATCTGTCCCAAGCTGTTCTGTTCGCTGTGTAGCCGAGTGCCGTTGATGGTCATTCAGGCAGACTTACCGCAATATTGGCATTCGTTCAGGTCACAGCCGCAATAATGCTCCAGCTCCTGGGACATGCCTTTGACTACGGTTGGTTTTTAGTCATATCAGTTCCCTCGTCCCATCCCAAATTGTTATCTTGACTCCTTCCCAGTGCTATATAGTCGTGGTGGCTTGGCGCTTTTCCCCTGATAGTTCCTTTCCCCTTGTTACGTCCGATGATTTTAGTCTCTTCATGCAGATCAGCGTTCAATTCCCGACTGTCCAAGGGGTTGGGCACCATTCCTTCCCCCCCGTCCCATCCCAACTTCTTATCCCGACCCAATAAATTGGACTTTGCCAGCAACAGCTTGAATAAATAAGAGAAATAAACGAGGAAAATAGTTAATAGGAAAAAATAGGGGAAAGCTACAAAAATGTTCCACAATTCTTCGTTTTAAACTTTTCTCGAGTCGTTACTCTGAGAGAGATTAAGGCATCACATTAGCATATTCATTGGAGAAGTCCCAGTCTATTGTAGTTGAAGCTCGATCTATCGCAATGGAGGAACCGTTTATCTCAGTGGAGGCTACATCTATCGCAGTGAAGGATACCTTTATCTCAGTGCAGGTTCCATCTATAGCAGTGGTTTCTCTCTCTCTCTCTCTCTCTCTCTCTCTCTCTCTCTCTCTCTCTCTCTCTCTCTCTCTCTCTCTCTCTCTCTCTCTCTCTCTCTCTATGAGATTAATTAACTCATCAGCAATATCACACGACAGAACACATAGATGACAGTTAAACACTGAACACACATTTTAAACACTAATCCATAGAACAGTCACTCGAGGCGCATAGACCGGGGGTGGGGGGGGGGGGCGCATGCTGGCCGCTGCTGTTAATTTGATTGTCAAAGTTAATTATGGGTTGACAGGTTCCCTGAGGCTGTTCCGGGTGCTGGTTGGTCGGGTGGGAGAGTGGTTTCGTGGAGCAGGTGGTGGTTTGTGGGGGCAGGTGGTGGCTTGTGGGGGCAGGTGGTGGCTTGTGGGGGCAGGTGGTGGTTTGTGGGGCAGGTGGTGGCTTGTGGGGGCAGGTGGTGGTTTGTGGGGGCAGGTGGTGGCTTGCGGAGCAGGTGGTGGTTTGTGGGGCAGGTGGTGGCTTGCGGAGCAGACCGAAAGATCTCGATATATTGGCAAGACAATACACTCTCAGGCAAGGAACCGGTCAATGTACAAACAACAAAACTATATCAAAGCTGATATTTCCACACACAACGAGGCCATTCCCATAGATATCCTAAGCATCAACACCAAAATAATCGGCAATCATAACGACATCGAAAGATTAGACATAGCCGAGGTACTTGAGCCTAAACACACTCATTTGTCAAAACCGAGCTACACCTTAACATCCTCTTTAGACTCCTAGACCAAGACAGAACATCCACCTCACACCGAATTCAGTGGTCCAGCCAACATCAACCATGTGACACATCACTTGATAAATATCCCCGTTCGATTGGCCTCCGAAGATGTCTAAGAGAGCTTTAACGATACATGCCACGCCCAATAAAATTGTGAAATGTACTTTGGAAGGTTAATCATTCAATTTCCTTCTCAAGTTAAGAGAAGGATAGGGAATAAAGGTAATATTTGTGCTAGAATTGCTGGCCTGGCCCTGTATGTTACACACACACACACACACACACACACACACACACACACACACACACACACACACACACACACGTGTAATTTGGCCAACGGCAGGACTGTAATCCCAGTAAGGGACGGAGCAGAATGGGGATTTAATCCTCGTTCCCCTGAGCGAGACAGCATTGTGATGCCTCCAGGTCGTGCCGAGGACAGCAAGGAATCCTCCTCACCACCAACACAAGACCATCTGAGCCTTTGCAATTACTTCCTCCTACAGCCGCTCTCTAAAGGCTCTCAGGACAATCTTAAAGATTCCAGAGGGACACAGGTAAGTCCAGGGAGGACTAGCATCATGGCACAGATTGTTTATCTCGTCTTTTTCCTCCCTCTTCTACTCCAGAACGTCTTCCACTACTCTTAAAACGTTCATATCTCCACTAATCACCATGTAATAAGTGTTATCTGTACAGTTCAATTGAAAATGGCAAAGATGTTAGAGAAGCAGGTGAGCACTTACCTGGCGTGAGGGAGGGGTAGATAGTATGTGTGGGCGTCTCCCAGGCCGTGGGCGTGACGTGGGCGGCCAGGTGGGCAGGTACAAGGCACCGTAGCAGTGCTGACCCACCCACCATGGCTCTTCCACCCTCCGCCCGCACTGTAAAGTCCTGCCACACCACTGAAACAGATCAACAGTGATAATGTTAATTTTAATTGACAATTTTGGTTGAAAATAACTAATGAACAACCACTTGGACTAGACGGTGAAGTGACGGTCTCCCTTCTAGCAGGTTTGCGTTCGATTCCCTACCATCCAAGTGGTTGTGTACCATTCCTTTCCTCTGTCCTAGACGAAATCCTGATCCACATATCCCTTTGTTATATAGTCGTAATGACTTAGTGCGTTCTCCTGATAATTATCTTACCTGCGACAAGCACCTTCGTGCCTGGAAATGCATATAAAACATGTAAAGCAAACGACCATCCAAGACTCTCCATTCTTAAAGCCCTCACTGGCACCACCTGAGAAGAACACCATAATACACAGCTGCTCCTCTGCACATCCAACATTAAAAGCCAACTCGAATGTTGCTGTCATGTGCATCGGCAACGTCAACTAATCTCCAGAATCTTGGGGTAATATATGACAATGTCATGCTAATTATGTGTGGCGCACTGCGTTCAATTTCAGGGGGAAACGGGCCTCACCAGTTAAGCCACCAGACGAGACATAATGTGTGGTAACTATCATAACTTAACCCGATAGTTAGTTCACATAACCCTCGTTTACATACCATCCATTCACAACCCTTTCACAACACGAGTTACAAATAACCTAAGACGTGAATATATTACACATCATAATGCACCCAGAGTTTGCTAGTATTGATCAAATGGCCCTGTATGACTAGCCATCCTGTTTGATGGGGATTTTTAGCATCACGTAGCTAGTTTTTTGACACACACTGTACTCCCCTTCATATAGTCTAAGGCAGCTGCACAAATGCACATATACCTAATGTATTAATAAAAAACAATTGTCCCTCCTATGTCTCCTTGGTATTAAACAACTCGTAAAACATCAAAACAACTAAAAAACATCATACAAAAAGTCTGAACCAAAATAAGCCTCAACCAACCTCGCCCCTCAGCCTTCGCCTCCACGATGGACAATTTCTACCCCCAATACCACAGCAATTTACATGGACCTCGCACACTGCAACTCACTAACCCCTCTGTCACTAGTGTGGTATGGCTCCCACAGTACCACTCCAAGCAGGGATGGCAGTTACCAAACCAACTACCTGTATTCACAGCTCAATTATAAGCATTATAACAAGCCCTAGAAATAACCACAACATTCTAGTTGGGGAAATTCCCAATCTGTATTGACTCCAAAAAGAGAGATTTCAGCCATTACGTATTACACCAAAATACACTAAGAGCTTGGCCACTCCTCCCTACAGCTTCTCCATGAACATCATTCAAAAGGTTTATGACATTTCCATCCAAAGGGTCGCAGCACTCAATGAAAACATTGGATGAATATCTGCAATCAACGAAAAAAAATGGTTACATTTGACCCGTTGATAAACCTCAAACCACCGGACAATCGAACGTTGAAAACGAATTATTAACAACAAAAAAACAACGAAGATCAACTGACGCCATGAACCCCTCGCCCTCAAGGGCCTCAACTCTCTGCAACACAGTCTATTTAGTCGCCTCCCCGGCCGGCATCAGCGGAACACAACAATAACAATTCCAACCTTTGTCATGTAAACACTGACGCGTCAATGTGCCTCGTCTTCCGACATTGCCACAGGTGCAGTCACTGGGAGGATGAACCCTTCAGGCAACCTGCACGTACCGTAAAGGAGTAGGAGAGGTGTCAACACAGTAGGGGCATCACCGAGAGGTGTCAACACAGTAGGGGCATTACCGAGAGGCGTCAACACAGTAGGGGCATTACCGAGAGGCGTCAACACAGTAGGGGCACCACCGAGAGGCGTCAACACAGTAGGGGCACCACCGAGAGGCGTCAACACAGTAGGGGCACCACCGAGAGGCGTCAACACAGTAGGGGCACCACCGAGAGGTGTCAACACAGTAGGGGCACCACCGAGAGGCGTCAACACAGTAGGGGCACCCCCGAGAGGTGTCAACACAGTAGGGGCACCACCGAGAGGCGTCAACACAGTAGGGGCACCCCCGAGAGGTGTCAACACAGTAGGGGCATCACCAAGGCGTCAACACAGTAGGGGCACCACCGAGAGGCGTCAACACAGTAGGGGCACCACCGAGAGGCGTCAACACAGTAGGGGCACCACCGAGAGGCGTCAACACAGTAGGGGCACTACCGAGAGGCGTCAACACAGTAGGGGCACCACCGAGAGGCGTCAACACAGTAGGGGCACTACCGAGAGGCGTCAACACAGTAAGGGCATTACCGAGAGGTGTCAACACAGTAGGTGCATTACCGAGAGGCGTCAACACAGTAGGGGCACCACCGAGAGGCGTCAACACAGTAGGGGCACCACCGAGAGGCGTCAACACAGTAGGGGCACCACCGAGAGGCGTCAACACAGTAGGGGCACCACCGAGAGGTGTCAACACAGTAGGGGCACCACCGAGAGGCGTCAACACAGTAGGGGCACCCCCGAGAGGTGTCAACACAGTAGGGGCATCACCAAGGCGTCAACACAGTAGGGGCACCACCGAGAGGCGTCAACACAGTAGGGGCACCACCGAGAGGCGGCAACACAGTAGAGGCACCAACACAGTAGAAGCAACACACCTACTGCTCATAAGGAAACACTAGGAAGGCAGTGTTTTGGTCCCTCTCGCTGAGGTCAACACTGTAATGGCTGATCAGTGATGAGTAGGAGTTAAAGGGTTGTACTTCAACCATTCATCTCCCACTCATTCATCAACAGCATACCACGAATGAGTAAGAGATGTACTGGCGTGCTTCATCACTATAACAGAGGACAGAAGGTGAATGACCAAGAAGGTGAAGCAACACTTATACTGGAAAAAAACAGGATGCTGGGTGAGTAACACCGGTGTTACTAGGTGTATTAGAGGGTTGTGTAAGGGTGTTACACAGCAGTGTTTCTACTATGGTGTTGTGTAAGGGTGTTACACAGTAGTGTTCCTACTTTGCTGTTATTACTATGGTGAAGGTACCATAACGAAGGTATTCCTACCACGGTATCAGAGCGTGTGGTGAGGCAAGATCCCACAATATTCAATAAACTAGAGTGGTTTTAATTCCTAAGAGTAACAGCAAGGGCAGAATAATCATTGGTAAAGCTCTTCTTCCTCTTAATATAACATCTTTCATAATACAAATAAAAAGACCGAAAATACAGTATTTTCATCAATGTTTTCGTACTTTTAAACTATGACGCGAAAATATATTTTCTGGGATATTTTTCATAGCGTAAAGTTTAGATTTACTGCACCTCGTGTGGCCTCGTGCTGGGCTATTGATCATGTGCACATAGACAAGTTTTAAAATGTTTGAACCGATTTTTTTTAATATTAGCATGATAAACCATTCGTGGGATCGCTGCAAAATCGACATAGAGCCATGATCGCGTTCTCAACTCCTGCTATAAAAGCCCGACTCGACAGAATGTTGACAGCAGAGTTATTCCTAGCGAGCTAGAGAAACGCATCGTATCTATAAGCAGACGAGGAGTCACAATAATGTGGCTGAGATATGGTGACCAGACCACACACTAGAAAGTGTAGGGACGAGACGTTTCGGTCCGTCCTGGACCATTCACACAATCGACTTGATAATGGTTCAGGACGGACCGAAACGTCGTCGTCCCTTCACTTTCTAGTGTGTGGTCTGGTCAACATACCCGTCGTTCAATGCAGTTCTGATATGCTGTGTTCAATGAGGCTTTCTCGACGGCTCAAGGTAGTTCCATGCTTTTTTATTACTTGCACAGGTGGCTTTATTTGTTGTATTGTCTCTTTAATAAATCATGATTATCTCTAGTCTTTAATAATATAACGTTTTTAAGGATATTTTGTTAATTCGAATCGAAGAATAATTTGTTTAACTTTGAAGATCTCTTGAAAAAATATTTAAATTAATCACTTTGCTTCGACCTCAATTTATATTTTAATTACTCATTACTAACACACACACACACACACACACACATGCACACACATGCGCGTGTGTGTTTGTATGTGTGTGTTACTTCATGCTACTTAAAGCTCATTGATGCTCACTTCAGCAGCTGACTCCCACTGTCAGCCACTCTTCTACATTAAGTTTATATATGAGTCTTTGTAGATTAATTTCACTTGAAATTACAGATTTAATAATGAAAATTGGTAGCATAGAAAATATTTCACTGTCTCAGCATGACATTAGTGAGACGTGAGCAAGCTGTAGGAGCAGGGCAGCAGAGAGGCCTAAGCAGACTGACTCAGCCGGGCAACAGTGAGGCCTAAGCAGACTGACTCAGCAGGGCAACAGTGAGGCCCAAGCAGACCGACTCAGCAGGGCAGCAGTGAGGCCCAAGCAGACCGACTCAGCAGGGCAGCAGTGAGGCCTAAGCAGACTGACTCAGCAGGGCAGCAGTGAGGCCTAAGCAGACTGACTCAGCAGGGCAGCAGTGAGGCCTAAGCAGACTGACTCAACAGGGCAGCAGTGAAGCCCAAGCAGACTGTCTCAGCAGGGCAACAGTGAGGCCTAAGCAGACTGACTCAGCAGGGCAGTAGTGAAACAATACAAAGAGGGTCACATACGGTAGCCAGCACATACTCTTGGACCTCCACAGCTGCAGTAAAAGGCAAACATTCACCCCTGAGCATCTAGCTGTACGAGGTGACGAAGTGTAAAAACTCCAGGTCTCCGGTGAGGACGACTTCAGGAGATAAACGTCCCCCTCGTCCTCCAATTCCTCGTCCTCCACTTGGAGCCTTCAACACTTCCCCCAACTCGCTATTAAGCTTAAACTCACCCGGAGAGGCTTCTCTCCTCTCAAGCTGGTACTTGAGGAAATTGGATGCAAGCTTATCCTTTTACCGAAGTTATGAAATATATATATATATATCTATATATATATATATAGATATATATATATATATATATATATATATATATATATATATATATATATATATATATATATATCACCATCATAACTTGTCTGGAGATATTGCAGACAAATTTAAGAGGGTGAATACGCCTGCAGAATACAATCAGTCCTGTGGCCCCGTCCGAGCAAGGAGAAGAATGATATTGGTATCTCTCTCTCATGCATCTGGAGTGTTTGAACACTGTATTGCGTCCACGTCTGGGATGTTGCCACACGCCACGCCATACTCTACATAGATTTTACCTTACTTATGTAGGGAGGAGAAGTTTGGTCTCCCATAACTCTCTACGTTTTCTTCCTGCAGTACTCACCAAACCAGTTTCCAGAGTGCATGTTCTCTGAGTGCATGATTCAAGATCTCAGCAAGATCTCATCACCTCTTACAAGAAACATGCGGGAGAGAATTCCTAATATTCAATTCATGACTATTAACAAGATAGTTATTAGGAGAAAGCAGGAAGTCAGAATGACTACATGGCACTTGAAGGTCACGTAGAGGCGAAGATCTGGCGTGAGACGAAGGGAAGAACGGTGCCCACCCACTGGGACCATCGGGGATCGAACGGCGACCTGAAGAAGCGACGAGGTGATCGCAGTTCCGACAGTCCAATTGATAACTCACGAATTTTTGTACACGACCACGTTCTCACACACACATCTCTCTGTCTCCTTTATAAATGCGTCAGGACTGTGGTAAGCTGCTGATTATCCCATTGTACTGGCTTACAGCAGTGCTAGAGATGTAAAACTGACAGATCTACAAGCTTACCCTTTAAGGAACACGAGAAAAGCTGTAAAATTGATAGATCTACAAGCTTACCCCTTAAAGAACACGAGAAAAGCTGTAAAGCTGATAGATCTACAAGCTTACCCTTTAAGGAACACGAGAAAAGCTGTAAAACTGACAGATCTACAAGCTTACCCTTTAAGAAACACGAGAAAAGCTGTAAAACTGATACATCTACAAGCTTACCCTTAAAGGAACACGAGAAACACTGCAATACCTTCAGCAATGTATAATACTCAAAGCGAGCATTAAACATTGTGGGAATATAGAGGTAATTACCAACCAATCTACAACCATGGCCAGAACATCTTCACTTGTTTGGTTCGTGACGTCGGGGGCGTTCCAGCTGAGCAGTGTTGACAGATGGCCGGTGTTTCCCTGTGGTTCCTTTTCCTTCAACAATTTAGCTGCCGTTTTCAGTAGCTGTCAAAACAACATTAGAGTTCGCTTCAACCAGATTTTCCCATTTCCGTTTAGCTTCTTTCTCAGGACTCGAAGACTCCGTTAACCGAGCCAAACGACGTAGTTTGGTCGGGTTAGAGGGAGATGTCGGTTAATGTGGTGAGTGGTTCGAGGCTCCTGCTGTACCCATGCGGGGAGAATATATCATGAAAGGTGGTACTAAAATCTGCATGGTCGGTGATCATCGGATTTAAACACGCGATTAAGCATTTGAGTGATGGTGCGCCTCTGGACGAAATTAAGGTGCTCCTCCAGGACGTAAGGTGCTCCTCCATGACGGAAGGTGTTCCTCCAGACGGAAGGTGGAAGGTGCTCCTCCAGACGGAAGGTGCTCCTCAAGGTGGAAGGTGCTCCTCCAAGACGGAAGGTGTTCCTCCAGACGGAAGGTGGAAGGTGCTCCTCCAGACGGAAGGTGCTCCTCAAGGTGGAAGGTGCTCCTCCAAGACGGAAGGTGCTCCTCAAGATGGAAGGTGCTCCTCAAGACGGTAAGAGTTAATGATCTTGAACTGACCAGCTAACTGCCAGTGTACTGGTCAACAGACCGCCAGTTGTTAAACATAAGTAGTTATTTAAGCAATGTACAATAGGGGATTAGATCAGAAACTATTAAGACAGAATATAAACAATTATAGAATGCGGTTGTAAGTTGTGTTCTTCCATTCATTTTTTCCTAAGCAAACACTAAATAAATTCTGTAGAACTGCAGGCTACATAAAGCTGACACAACCACACGTCACATGCTCCATGCCTTCCCTCAGAGTGAACAGCCCTATAGAGGCAATGGCTATCAACACGGAACAAGTTTATCGTCTATCTCATTTACCAACCTGGGAGAGTATTTTCACCAGAAGCGAGAAGTGTGTGCTCCGACTGGTAGGTGACTGTCTTCATGTCCAAGGCGTCTGTATTTGATGGCCTTTTGTGCCAGAAATTGTTTCAGCCAAAGTGGTTGCAAAATTATTCAGGTTCCAAGCAACTTGTTCCCGTTTTCCAGTTTAGTGTGATAACCTCACCTGGAGGCCAGGAAGGTGGTAATGTCATCTTAATTAAGGCAATATTTGCGCTTGGAAGTGATTTGTAACGAAGCTTATCTGATAATTCACACTTCACTGGTATTACTTCCGTCGGATAAACTGTAGGCGAAACAGTTGTACTCACTTTGTTGTGCTTGTGGGGGTTGAGCTTCGGTTCTTTGGTCCCGCCTCTCAACTGACAATCAACTGGTGTACTGATTCCTGAATATACTGAGTTCTATCATATTTACATATGAAACTGTGTATGGAGTCTGCCTCCACCACATCACTGCTTAATGTATTCCATGTTAACTACTCTGACACTGAAAACATTCTTTCTAACGTCCCTGTGACTTATTTGGGTACTCAGTTTTCACCTGTGTCCCTTTGTTCGCGTACCACTGGTGCTAAAGAGTTTATATTTTGACAGGGAATTACTCTATCAATTCCTCTAAGAATTTTATAAGTGGTGATCATGTCTCCCCTAACTTCTGTCTTCCAGTGTCGTACTGTTTAGTTTCAGTAATCTTTCCTCGTACCTTATACCCCTCAGCTCGGGGACTAGCCTGGTGGCATACCTCTGAACCTTTTCCAAACTTCTTTTTGTGTTTGGTCTAGGGAAGACACTGTCACATCCATCACTGTTGCCAGATATATAACATATGTTTCCACCTCTCTATTTTCTGCTATGCTTCGTAAGGCTCCGTCGACTATTCTACAGCAATGCTCATCACAGTATGTGCAAACCAGATGATATCTCCTCATAGGCAAATGAGTGTACTCTTCCTCACATGATCCTCCTCCTGAGGTCCTCACTGTATCTAGCACTTTGACCTCCATTTGACTTGAGGTTTATCTTAAGTAGATTCTGCGCTGAGCATGAGGAGAGTAACATAGGAAATAGCTTAGATTCCAGATAGTTGATACAGGATTTTAGTATTCCTAAGAAATGTCACAAAATGGACTAATGACTTCAGCTCTGAATTCCTCAATACAATTGAGTAGATTAATTATTACTAGACAAGGTATACACCATATAGGCTGAAGACAAAATATACACTATACAATGGAAAGAAAGTATGTATCGACTTTATAATGGCCCAGGACGGACCGAAACGTCGTCGTCTCTTCAATTTCTAGCGGGTGATTTAGTCAACATACGTACACTATAATCTGAACCACACACCGAAAAGTGCTTTACTCCCAACAATGCCAGAAACAAAGACCAACCAACGAACCAATTTTAGGACCACCTTCCGATCAACGCCTCTGGCTATTGACCCAAGCGAACAAAAAAAGCCTCCGAGGGGGATAAAGTCATGTCAGGATGTATTGTTGGCCGGTTAAAGTTATTGATCGTATATCCGGCTCCGAAGGCCGGAGCATTTGTTACCGACCAAATCTTCATTATCGCACCGAATTCTTCCCCGAACATGTGAACTCTTTTCGGTCTTGCAATTAAAACTTTAGCTTAAGACTTTCTGGGTCGTTTACATAGCTTAAGAAATCCTTATCCAGAATAATTTCTCGCGATCATGTGATGCATGAATGTTGAGGAGCTAGCCAGCTGCTGTGGTGAGTAATGCTGCGGTGGTGAGTAATGCTGCGGTAGTGAGTAATGCTGCGGTGATGAGTACAATGCTGCGGTGGTGAGTACAATGCTGCGGTGGTGAGTACAATGCTGCGGTGGTGAGTACAATGCTGCGGTGGTGAGTACAATGCTGCGGTGGTGAGTACAATGCTGCGGTGGTGAGTAATGCTGCGGTGGTGAGTACAATGCTGCGGTGGTGAGTACAATGCTGCGGTAGTGAGTAATGCTGCGGTGGTGAGTAATGCTGCGGTGGTGAGTAATGCTGCGGTAGTGAGTAATGCTGCGGTGGTGAGTAATGCTGCGGTAGTGAGTAATGCTGCGGTGGTGAGTAATGCTGCGGTAGTGAGTAATGCTGCGGTGGTGAGTAATGCTGCGGTGGTGAGTAATGCTGCGGTGGTGAGTAATGCTGCGGTGGTGAGTAATGCTGCGGTGGTGAGTAATGCTGCGGTGGTGAGTAATGCTGCGGTGGTGAGTAATGCTGCGGTGGTGAGTAATGCTGCGGTGGTGAGTAATGCTGCGGTGGTGAGTAATGCTGCGGTGGTGAGTAATGCTGCGGTGGTGAGTAATGCTGGTACTGACCTGCCTGGAGGGTGACGGGCGGGGAGATCACAGCTCCCAGGGGGTTCGATGCCCGGCATCTCACTGTGGCGGCGTGCACGTCCGCTCTGTACCTGTGGAAGACACACACCTGTTAATACACCTGCACAGCACGTGAGGGAACACCTGTAAAGCAGGTGAAAGAACACCTGTAAGACACGTGAGGGGACACCTGTATAATCTTATTATTATTATTATTATTGAGAAAATCAGTAGGAGCCGTGGCGTGGACTCGAACCTTTGCTCAGAGTACTCAAAATCAAACGCCTTAGACAACTAGGCTTGCATGACAGTATACCCAGCGCTCGGGTTCGAAGCCTCGTCTCGGCTCTAAAAGATCTTCTCACAGATACATCACGTTAATGGTTTTATCCTCTATTCGTTTTGAGATTGATTTTAAGTCTGTCATGAACTCATAATCCACAGTATCGCTGGCCAAAGCCTGGCTAATTTTCAATAGGTGTCAAGGGTAAGTTTAAGTGGCTGGTTAAAACAATGCTAGTTTACTGGGACATATAAACAGGTCACCGTAAAACATTGAGAACTAAGCATTCTCTATATACAACTGATATACATTAGTATACAACTGATACTTTCATCAGAAAAGCGCTTCAACATAGCTCAACTAGTCACAAATGATTTCATGAATTTAAATACAGCTATCGTTATTATTGATTCAGCTACTCGAAACAAGTTCCAAGGTAGCACGGGCTATGGTGAGCCCGTAACCAGCTATCAAATCAGTAACGGCTATTATCCTTAGCTAACGCTATGCTCCAACCAGGCACAGTGGCACACTAACCCAAGTAACAGTATGGAGGTGTGATACATAAAACAGCGGGCGAGGAATCTATCACATACTGTAACACAATACTAATAATCTATGATCTTCAATTACCCAAAATCACCAACCACCTGACCTACTGATATATCTACTTACCCTGATCCTTTTACAACAGCATTACTCTTATTATATATACCTTAGTAATCAATAACAGCAAAATATATAGTACAGCCCAAGGACTGGACGTCTCACGTCCGTCTCTCTGGGAAATCAGGGAAATAAAAGACTGGCCCCAACAGCCATGATGGCCGAGAATGACTTTGTCGCCAACAGGGCAAGTCACTCCAACCTTCCTCTTGCCCCTAACAGAAGCTCAAAACATAAATATTTTTACATCTAGTTCATACTGTACCTAATTAGATATATACGTAATACAATACAATATATATAAAACCTCAAGGTACACAAGAATATATAACAATATGTGCTAAACACATAAGGGAGAGTCATTTCTATGTACATCTGGCAATACTAGCTGGAGACGGCTCACCAAGGGTCAGGGGGGGGGGCGTAAGGGGAGGAAGGGAGGGGGGAAGGGAGGGGGAGAAGGGAGGGGGGAAAGGGAGGGGAAGGGGGGGGAAGGGAGGGGGGAAGGGGGAGGGACTATATGGGAGGAGTTCCAGCAATTACCGGTCGATCGATCGTTTACGACTTAAATTACCGTATATTCACATACCTCAAGTATATAGTTGTATGAACGAACATAAGCTTCTGCTATTCCATAAAATATTACTAATACAAGAGTAAGCTAAACAGGTAATATGTGACAATATAGCTTGACTGCTACATACACTCACACCATATATTTATCCTGGTGTATGTGTGGTCGTAACAAATTCCTAAGTAAATTAAATTTGCATGAAAATTTTCAATCCATCTCCCTATTTTGTCAGCTAAAGTTTTAGCTGTCACTGTGTGTGGGGGGTGGGAGGGGGGAGGGGGGGGGGTATTCCAATTTGGTCCACTTTATGAAATAGTTTTGCAGACATCTGTGAACAGAACATGTATTCACCTAGTTGTGCTTGCGGGGGTTGAGCTCTGCTCTTTGGGCCCGCCTCTCAACTGTCAATCGATCAAACAACTGTTACTAGCTACTAACTATTTTTTGTTTTTCACACACACACACACAGGAAGCAGCCCGTAGCAACTGTTTAACTCCCAGGTACCTATTTACTGCTAGGTAACAGGGGCATCAGGGTGAAGGAAACTGTCCGTTTGTTTTTCCGCTGGCTGTCTTGGATCGAACCCTGGTCCCTAGGTCCACGAGTTTAGAGCGCTGTCCACTCTGCCAGCCAGCCCCCCGTCACGTGTGTATGTTAGTTGGTTTCTAATGCCTCAGTGATGTTGTGGTAGTGATCAAGTAGTTAACAAAGACAAGATCTTCAAGCTTAATGGCCTTGTTGACCTCGGTTGTATAACTCGTTTTATTCCATACCACCGACAGACTACCTTCTTAGCCCCTTCTTAAATTCCTCAAGGATATTAATACGACCTCTAAGGAATCAAACATGATAAAAACCTTAATTTCTCAGTGTAAATCAGGAATAATTTTCTAGCACACATATATTATTAGTCACAGAGCTGATTATTTAAAAGTTTCACAGAGTTGATTATTTAAAAGTTTCACAGAGTTGATTATTTAAAAAGTTTCACAGATATGTTTCTTGCATTGCTCCTCCTTAAGGATTTTATCCCTAAGTTATGCTAGACATTTATATTCAATTCTGGTAAAAGGAGAAACAGTTTTGTGAGTTTTATCGCTAGCATTATGCTTCCAGATAATTTTGTATATAATGCAAGTTTCTCATGCAATGTTGCACTTGCAATTTATCCATATATTTGTATCACTAAGTTTTTTTTTTCAAATAAGTAACAAATAAAGTCTTCAAAAATATTTTTTGTTAAAATATGTATATCACTTTTTAAGTAAAGTGCGAAATCTATGCAAGGTCGGCAGAGGCATTTATTTTGCCGCTTAATTAGTATATTGTTGTAAAAAATTGAGCTTAAAGAATGCTTTGCAAAAACGAGTCTCAAAGTTACCTGAAGTCACGCCCATTTCTGATCACCAGCGACGTAACCTACAGTGTTACTGAAACAATACAATGAAAACCAAATATCAAGAAAAAAAAATGACTAAAACTCTCAACCACACTATGGTGTAAATAAACAGCATCTTCCTCACGCTCCTTGGGTACGCAGTTCGAGTCTCCTAATGCCCCATGTTAATGAAAACAGGAGACGACTGTTTGAAACCAGAAATAAGGTGATATAAGTCAAGCTGGTTGACGACGGCCTCCCACAAGTTGAAGGGGGTCTTCAAGGTCTCAAACCCCCAAAAAGGCGAAGGAGCAGAAGGTGTCAAACCTCTTTTCCAGCCTCCGCGTCCATCTCCACCTCGAGGGCATCACCAGCATCAGGTGCAGGAGGAGAAGAGGGTGTCAGTTCACATGTCACTCTCCACCGCCACCTCATCCCTCAGCCCCACTATGTACCAGTCTTCCCAGAATCCATTCTCAAGATACACAATCCCGGGAACACCAATCCTCTTAGAGGAGAGAGTGAAGGTTATCAGAGACATCTTAAAGCCCAGGTAATCCACCGGCCTGCTCACTGAAGCAATCCCAAGTACACAGGAACAATCCCACGTACACAGGAACAATCCCACGTACACAGGAACAATCCCACGTACACAGGAACAATCCCACGTACACAGGAACAATCCCACGTACACTGGAACAATCCCACGTACACAGGAACAATTCCACGTACACAGGAACAATTCCACGTACACAGGAACAATTCCACGTACACAGGAACAATTCCACGTACACAGGAACAATTCCACGTACACAGGAACAATTCCACGTACACAGGAACAATTCCACGTACACAGGAACAATTCCACGTACACAGGAACAATTCCACGTACACAGGAACAATTCCACGTACACAGGAACAATTCCACGTACACAGGAACAATTCCACGTACACAGGAACAATTCCACGTACACAGGAACAATTCCACGTACACAGGCACAATTCCACGTACACAGGAACAATTCCACGTACACAGGAACAATTCCACGTACACAGGAACAATTCCACGTACACAGGAACAATTCCACGTACACAGGAACAATTCCACGTACACTGGAACAATTCCACGCACACTGGAACAATTCCACGCACACTGGAACAATTCCACGCACACTGGAACAATTCCACGCACACTGGAACAATTCCACGCACACTGGAACAATTCCACGCACACAGGAACAATTCCACGTACACAGGAACAATTCCACGTACACTGGAACAATTCCACGCACACTGGAACAATTCCACGCACACAGGAACAATTCCACGCACACTGGAACAATTCCACGCACACTGGAACAATTCCACGCACACTGGAACAATCATACCTTCCTGTAGCCTGGAGGAATCTAACCTGACCGCAGACTAGAACACTCCCACCTGTCCCATACACTCTCCCACCTGTCCCATACACTCTCCCACCTGTCCCAAACACTGGACGAACCACAACTGCGCGTCAGTGGAACAATCCCCCCCCCCCGTACACACCTCTTCCCCCCTCCCCTTCCCACACCTCCGACTTTCACAATCTAAGACTGTAAAGTGTTCTGGGACTCTTACAACTTGGTATTAAACCTAAGTCCTTTACAATATGTTATCACGCCATGTGATAGGTTTAAATCTTTTACAAACATGTATGATACAGTGCATTAGGTGTAGGTCTATTACAGGCAATTAGCGCTCCATGTGGCAGGTTTTTTATTGTTTGTAACGCTAGTTGAGACTAACCAAACTATTGGGTTTTGTTGACCAGACCACACACTAGAAGGTAAAGGGACGACGACGTTTCGGTCCGTCCTGGACCATTCTCAAGTCGATTGACACAATCGACGTGAGAATGGTCCAGGACGGACCGAAACGTCGTCGTCCCTTCACTTTCTAGTGTGTGGTCTGGTCAACATACTATAGCCACGTTATTGTCACTCATCGCCTGCATATTGGGTTTTTGAAATCGATGTATTAAATGACCTTATACCTGGGCCCTCGGCGGCTGAATTTTCTCCGTGTCATGTGACTGAAGTTGTGAAATGTGCGTGTGACAGGACGTGACGCTTCCTCTCTCGACTTTCCCAGTATCCTGGGAATGCATCAAAATGTGTCTTGCAAAATTGAAATTCCCGTCCACTGCCACTCGGAGAAAAGTTGGCGGCTTTGGATCTGTATCTCGTGCTTTGGAGGCCTCGCGCTGCTCACGGGGGCTCCAGTGTAGCAAGAGGCTTTTGGGGTCAAAGTGGTGATGCTGGCAGGGTCGGATGGTCTGGCTTGAAGGAGCTAGAGAGCCGACAGCACGTAACGCCTTGCAGACACTCCCGTCGTCTTCCAGGATCAAACTATACCTCTGGGGACAACACGACGGCTTCCAAGCACCCGCGACGCTTTGTGCAAGCAGTCACGACATTTTGCTGGTGTACACGACGCCGTGCACGACCAGAGGCAGACAAGAGAACGCCTCCAGTCACCGTAGTGGACATAATGAGATACAGTTTTCAGGACACCCATATAATCTTCAGCTCAATATTTTGTAAAGTTGTGCGTAAGGAAAAGTGGATAAAGGGGGTTATACATAATGCTCACAGTCTGAATCCTTCTCTACATGCAGTCAGTCTCCATTCCCCAACTCATAATTCCTTATCCATGCTCCCAAGTCCTAATCCTTACTCATTTAAAACATTTAAGAACTTTCTAATTGAAGCCCAAGGACATAGGGCTGCATTAATTAATCAATGAATACCCAATATAAATTAATTAGGTCCATATAAATGAACTAGGTCCATATAAATTAATTTTTAACAAGTTATAATCTTCTTCAGATGTTTTAGTTCTCACTTATAAGACATAATCTTATAAAATCCACGTTCCTCATTCACAAGTCACTGCCCTCAGCCTCTAAGTGTATTCGTTAATCACTCAGTAGGCAACAAACACTCACAGGTTATATAATGAGCCACTTGACACACTCAGTTACAAGGCACTCTCTGGCGGCACTGTGAGGGTCAGCACTCACTCACAAGACGTGCTTAGGCTACTTGACAACATATTTAGTCAAACGAGACTCCGTGTCAACTACTTTCTTAGGACAGAGAGTCAAGTAGTCCCCAGACACTCTCAGATCTTGAGAGCCAAAGGCTGCTCTCTAACAAGCATTTTAGATCCACGAAACACTCCCTTTTTTCTAGCCAATCACCAGACGCACACACATATACCATCAGGACTTGTACGTAGTGCAGAGACTTCCGGACATGTAGTGAAAGTTATGTTCTAAATAATGTCTCTTCTTTCAGATGAATTCAGCCACCAGGATCTTTCAGGTCACGAGGGTCAGCACCAGCACTGTCTCAGGTCACGTGCTAGGCTACAGGACACTCTCAGGTCATCTACACAGTCTCAGGGCAAATGTCACGTGCCTGGTCAGGACTCTGGTCTCTAGGTTGTTAGTGCCGCAGCCCCGAGCACCAGCGACATCACGTACTCACAGTCAAGTGCTAACGAACCGGGCCTTCATGACGTCCTCTTGTGACCTCCTTGCAAGCGTGAGATGAGGTTGTGTGTGTTGTAGTGTAGTCTGTTGCACTCCTCTCTCTCTCTCTGTCTCCTCTCCCCCCCCCTCTCCCCCCCTCTCTCTCTCTCTCTCTCTCTCTCTCTCTCTCTCTCTCTCTCTCTCTCTCTCTCTCTCTCTCTCTCTCTCTCTCTCTCTCTCTCTCTCACCTAAGCGGCTCCAGTAGGCCTACCTGAATGCCAAATATCAATATCAAACACAACAAGGACTGACCTCTCTGGAGGGAAGGGGCGAAGCACCAATGACCCGTTAGCCAAAACATCCATGTTGGGAGACTGTGCTGCCAGCGGGTGACCCTCTCTGGTGACCCAGGTCACTGTGGGGGGCGGTGACCCCTCCGCCAGACAGGCCAGCACCGCCCCCGTCCCTGACGAGAAGACGACCTTGGCTGGTGGCGTGACTGTCAAGTGAGGCCCTCCACCGTTGCTGGAGGCCGACACTCCTGTAAGGAAGAGGAACGACAACCATTACACTCTCTGGTCAACCAACTGGGGAATATGGTCAAATGGTTATTATATCAAACACGTAAATAAACTTTCAGTGGCAATTCGCTTTGATTAACAAACAATTAAGTAATGTGAGGTAGTTATGAAGATGATTACTAGTTACCTTGAATATAATATCATCTAGATCACAAGCAACTACTCGACAAACGCAGAAAATGTCCTTCAAAGAAGTAACCAAAAGATTTGCACATAAGATTCTCAGAGCAGCATACTTTTCTTCTGATCAAGGTGTCGTGGTGCCCCTGACATGCTCAGAGGGGCATTCTAGGGACAGGGGAGGGATAATAGATTCTCGGGTTGGCACCCCCAAACCCCCTAAAAGCCAGTTGGGTGGCTTTTAGGGAGTTTGAACATCCTGGTTGGTGGTCTAGTCAACCAGGATTCTTGGCACTGATCCTTTGGAGGTGTGTATCAAGTTATCTCTTGAACACTGTGAGAGGTCGGTTATTTATGCCTCTTTACGTGTAGATGGAGAGTATTGAAAGGTCCTGGGCCCAAAATGTTTAAATAATTTTCTCTTGGCACCTTAGCTTTTCGACGGGGTTATTTTGCACATCCTGTCATGTTTCCTGGTGTCTTGTGGGTTTATTTATGTGTGCAGATTTGGAACTAGTTTCTAATATTTTCCAATTGTAACTTAATATTTTTTCCAGGATTAAATTATTAATATTTGTCCAACTGTAAATTATTATTTTTCCAATTGTAAATTATTAAAAACTTTCCAAGTGTAAGGTATTATGTATCACTTGCGCTCTAGCGAATACAGATTATAAATTTTTAAGTGGTTTCAATACTTTTGATGTTTTACTGAGTGGACTCGAGCAGTAAAAGACCTTTACAAGTTCTCTTGGTCGGCTATTTTTCCAGCCTTGACTATGCCTATTATTGTGCAACAGTATTCCACCCTTGAAATAGTGTCTTGAAAAGTATCACCATTGATCCGGCATCTCTTGTTTCAAAGGTTCTTGTTATCCAACTTGTCATTTTTCTTACAGTTGTGACAGCTACTTTATTATGTTCTTTAAAGGTCAGATCTTCCGACAAGATAACTTCCAAAACTTTTATATTGCTTTGTCTTTCAATAGTGTGATCTGACTGCGTTATATATGTGGTTGTTCTGTGACATTTTCCTTTCTCTACAGCGCAGGATCTGGAATTTAATTTCATTAAACATCAAGATATTTTCTGTGTTCCACTGAAAAACTGGATTACCATCTGATTGGAGGTTTGCTGTGTCCTCTATATTGCTATTGTCCTCTATATTGCTATTGTCCTCTATATTGCTATTGTCCTCTATATTGCTATTGTCCTCTATATTGCTATTGTCCTCTATATTGCTATTGTCCTCTATATTGCTATTGTCCTCTATATTGCTATTGTCCTCTATATTGCTATTGTCCTCTATATTGCTATTGTCCTCTATATTGCTATTGTCCTCTATATTGCTATTGTCCTCTATATTGCTATTGTCCTCTATATTGCTATTGTCCTCTATATACACTCATAAAAATCCTAGTGTCATCTGCAAAGGATAATACAATACTATAGTTTGTATCCTTGTCTTCGTCTGGTGAGAAAAAGTACGGAAGCAAGCAAAGTATTACTTTGGAGGACTGAGCCTTTCACGGTGGATGTTCCGGATTATACTTTGTTAATGCTCACTCTCTGGTTTCTGTTCTTAAGGAGATTAAAGATCCATTTCCCTAATTTGCCAGTAATTCCTTTTGTGCGCATTTTGTGTGCAATAACATACATTAAGGTTACATTAGTCGAAAACTTGCGAAAACTGTATGAGTATTCTGCTAGTCTTTCTATGGCATCTAAGGCCATATTATAGTGACTTGGCAATTACGAGAGGCAGGAGGGTCCTGTTCTGAACCATGGTGTCCATGGTTATGTCGATACTGCGGTTCCTTGTGTTTTAGAATCTTAGATCGTTAAAAAAATTAAATTACAAAATTAAACGACATTTATGATGTGTTATAGAACTATTGGTCTATATTTGTATGAGTCTTCTTTACTACTTTCTTCGTGGAGCGCCTCGCTGCTATTTTTTCAAAGTCATGGATAACGCCAATATCTAGGCGTTATCCATGACTTTCTCAAAAAGATGTTTAAGGCCTGTGATAGTGTATTTTGCTTTGTTTTGCCTCGATAATTTATGCTCACCCTGGGTGTTCTGTTTTAAGAAAAGCGCATGACCATCATTAATAGTTTTACTGCTAAAAGAACTCCATCTTAAGTGTATTAAACGTATATTGTTTATAACTGATCTACTTATTCTGCTGTAGAGTTTAATGAATGCTGCCCTACTGATGCTTATCATTTTTTGTTTATAGCCGTGGAAAGTAATTAATTATGAGTAAAAAAAATTGCAGAGCAGTTTGGCGACATGGTATAATATAATTATCACTCGTCACGGTGTTTGGGGAAGGTTTGTGAGGGTGGATCACGCTACATCGTCACGCTTCATATGTGTTCCCACAGCTGCTGTCTTGTATATTACTGTGGGGGCTCTATAAGTCTCTGGCTGGTCACACTACGTGTTACTTATAGGTCTTTGGCGGTCTTACTGAGGCAGTTTTCCTGAGGCAGTCTTACTGAGGCAGTCTTACTGAGGCGGTCTTTCTAAGGCGGTCTTTCTGAGGCGGTCAACTTCCTTAGACAATGGATGAGTATTAGTGACATCTTGTATATTGATATCTATAAGATTATCGCCTGGAGAATGCCTGGAAGGGGTTCGGGGTTGGCACCTTTTACTCTCCATTGGCTCTGTTCTGCATTTCCTGCCTTATCGCTTGCTCCAGGTTGTTACATTTCCCATTTTCTGGAATTTATAAACCATTTTGACTATGCACTTGGGTATCAGACCCTGATGTAAGTTCTCCTTTCTTGTTCTTTCCTCCATTAGCAAAATATTGTGGATCATGGTTGAATTCTTGTACCATCCAGACGTTTCTGTTGATGATTTTCTGGTCAGTGTCTATTGTTCATATTACTCTAACTCTAATAGTTTTCTTGCTGCTCGACATTGTGGTATGTATGGGCTCTATGTTCCTCCTTTTGGTTAGAATTATTGGCACCCAGTTGGTGTCAGTATTCGACGTCCTTGACGTGTGAGAGTTGCCATTAATGCTGTAACATTTGTGGTCAGATGAGTGTTGCCATGTTTGTATTCTTGTGGCAAGGCGTCAGTGGCAGCTCTCGAATCTGTATATATGATCATCATCGAGATTTTTCCTTTTGTTTATTAACACATTTAGGTACATCTGCATTTGTGCAGCTGCCCTAGACTATATGAAGCGAAGTACAGTGTGTCAATAAACTAGCTACGTGATGCTAAAACTCCCCATCACACAGGATGGTTAGTCGTACAGGGTCATGTGATCAGTAGTCTGTACTGGCAAACTCTGAGTGCATTATGAGGATATCATCATGAACACAAGAGTTAATAAAGTAATTACAAAACTCCAAGTACCTCATACCAACGGGTCTGAATGGTCTAAGTTAAAATTCTAGAAAACTAGGGATTCAACTAGCAACCTACCACTGATCTCTTCAGGGTCGTATTGGGAGCCGACCGTTTTTTAATGAGAGCAATAAGGCCGACTCCAACCCGTCCATGTTGGTCTCTTACCCTTCAACTATTACCCTACAAACCTGGAGAAAGCGTCTATCTTCACCCACGTTTGTAGGGTATACCCCACTCTACATGGGAGGAGTCCCTGGAAGTCCTATGATAATACCCACCACGTCCCACTCTACATGGGAGCAGAGTATGGGAGTCACGGGGCCCAAGCCGCCACTCCCGACTGAACAATGAAGGACTCTCGAGTCAGCGTTTATCAATAAGGCAAAATCGGGGGAGACGAAGAAGCCAGCCTTATTAACCCTCGGAGCCTCACCCTCACCGACCTTCCCGCTGCGTCCAGCCTGACCTCTTTGTCGTTATTGCCATCAAGATCTTTAAGATGATGGGAGGGGGGAGTGGGGGCCTGGGAGATATGTTAGCCTAATGCTGGGGGCTAGAAGCTGTTTTTGCCTGATGCTGGGGTCTGGAAGATGTTTTAGCCTGATGCTGGGGTCTGGAAGATGTTTTAGCCTGATGCTGGGGGCTAGAAGATGTATTTGCCTGATGCTGGGGGCTGGGAGATGTGCCAGCCTGATGCTGGGGGCTGGGAGATGTGCCAGCCTGATGCTGGGGGCCTGGGAGATGTGCCAGCCTGATGCTGGGGGCCTGGGAGATGTGCCAGCCTGATGCTGGGGGCTGGGAGATATGCCAGCCTGATGCTGGGGGCCTGGGAAATGTGCCAGCCTGATGCTGGGGGCTGGGAGATGTGCCAGCCTGATGCTGGGGGCTGGAAGATGTGCCAGCCTGATGCTGGGGGCTGGGAGATATGCCAGCCTGATGCTGGGGGCTGGGAGATGTGCCAGCCTGATGCTGGGGGCTGGGAGATGTGCCAGCCTGATGCTGGGGGCTGGGAGATGTGCCAGCCTGATGCTGGGGGCTGGGAGATGTGCCAGCCTGATACTGGGGGCTGGGAGATGTGCCAGCCTGATACTGGGGGCCTGGGAGATGTGCCAGCCTGATGCTGGGGGCCTGGGAGATGTGCCAGCCTGATGCTGGGGGCCTGGGAGATGTGCCAGCCAGGGTCCCTGAGAGGTGCTTTTGAACTGGGTCGGCCGCCTGTAATCTGATTTTCTCCTCCTCCTTAGCTTGGCCTAAAGTGATTGTCGTCCTCTTCTGTCTTCATCTATTTCCTCTATTCTTGTTCTCTTTGTCTTTCTCAATATAATATTGTATTTAAATGGGTAGACCTAATGGTACTGAGTATTTTCCGAATTTAAATAATGTTTTGTTTTGAACGTTGTATTTTGCTTTGAACTTTTGTATAATAAATAAATAGTGTGGCCTCACTACACATTGC